AGAAATTGGGAAGAACTTAGGAAAATATTGAGGAACAAGTAAAAATTGAGTGAAATTCACTCAACTGAGTGAATTCACTGGGTGAAAATTGCTGCATCTCTAGTGGACCTATACAGAGCAAGTTTGTTGATGTTGGTTTAATGGTGGTTTTAAGGTTATTTTAATATTTTTATTTTATTTTAAGGATTTGGGGAATGCCCCATATCCCCTAGCTCTCCCCTGTGCTCCTTGGGTCACAGATAGAGAGACTTTACTGGGATATATGGGCTATATATGTATATATCCCATATATATGGGACATATTTACTGGGATATATATAAGGCAGAGGCTGCTGAGAGAAGACTTGTCTTTAATTAGACCAATGGGTATCACTGGGGTGGAGGGGAAGAGATGAGTGAGCCTTTGAGCCTGAATAAATGTCAGCTTGTATTTTATCAGAATTGCAGTTTGGAATCGGGGATTCACTGAGTTTCCATTTGGCTGTGGGCTGTCTGGGGCCTTTTTGCATCTCCCATCTTGTAGCTGCAGTTATGGGAAAGCTGCACATACCACTTCACAGACGTAAAGCAGAGCTCTTTAGGGGAAGGAAGAGTAAATGACCCAGGTAAAATGAGCCAGGCTGGAGTCAGTAAAACTACCCAGAATGCCAGCAAGTGATACCTGTGTCCTGAGTTTAATATATTCACTTCCCAGTGGTCATGCCCAGGAGGATTAGTTGAGAGATGCTTTAACCTAAAGCTACTTGGAACAGCAGTGCTTTTTTTTTTTTATCTTCCCTCTCAAAAGTGGTTTGCTTTTACTAAAATAGCTAAATGCAGGCATGTTAAGCTTAATATATATGTGTGTGGGGGTACCTGAGAAAGCATCCCATTAGGTAACCCTGTAACTTTCTCCTAGGGAAATGCTGAGAATATCACCTTTGCTGCCACTCAGGGCCAAGCCAGGCTTGTTAGCAGCTTGTAAGTGACAGCCCTACTTTGCTTTGTGGGTATTTTAAGTGAGGAGGGTAGCAGAGCTCCAGGGAGAGGTGATAACGTCTGTGCTGGTTTTCTTCTTGATAGGGAGGTGGCAGAGGAGGAGGAGATAGGACTAATTGCATACCTTCCAATTCCAGTTAGTTCATTACAGAATAATCATTGGAGCAGCCCTGCAATCTGCTCTGATAGCAGATAAGTGGCGTGGCTCACAGCGCTTCAATCTAAACAAAACTTAAGTGCTTTTTCCTTTTTCCCTGGAGTGAAACTGTAATTTCGTTATGTGAATGTTAGCCAGGACAAAGTTGTTTTTGCAGCTGTCATGATGATTCTCTGGGCTTTGTGTTAGAGGTATGTCCCCAGTGTATGTAGCAAAAATATCCTAAAATACTGCATTCCCATACCTGGAAGCTTCAGTTGAGAGCTCTCCAAATGTTTGCCAGGTGAAGATCTGTTTAGCTTTGACGTTAGATGTCTCAGAGGGTTTAGATATAAACCAGGGAAGGTTTGGATGATATTCCTTTCCATAGCAATACATGTTAATTACCTTCTCTGTCTGCCTTAGGCCCTGAAATGGTCAAGTGAAAGAGCCTGAGCACATCTCTGCTGCTTCAGAATACGAGTCCCTCTGGTGAGGGTGGTCACGTTGAAGCATTGCCTCATTTTGGTCCTCTGGTGTAGAAATGGTGTTAAATGCAGCCCATGTGATGCAGAAGAGAACTATCAGGCAGAGCCTGGGAGAGAGATTTTGCCTCTCTTTGAAATGGGGTAAAAGTGAATTTGTACTCCAGGCTGAACCTTGGGAAATCATAAAATCCCAGAATGTTTAGGTTGGGAGGAACCTTAAAGCACATCTCATTCCAACCCCCTCCCATGGGCAGGGACACCTTCCACTATCCCAGGTTGTTCCAACCTGGCTTTGGACACTTCCAGGGGTCCAGGGGCAGCCACAGCTTCTCTGGGCAACCTCTGCCAGCCTCATAAAATCCCTGGAACTGCTGTTGGTGACGATGACTTTGAGGTATCTATTTAGGGCCACAAGATTACCCCAGACAAGTGCCTGGACTTTGCACAGTGCAGTACTGGCCAAACCTTAAACTCTCTTCAGGCTCACTTTCTCTGGACTGTGCCACGGAACCATTAAATCTGATCCGTTCCTAAAAAGACAGCTGACTGTGCAATCTGAGCCACATAAAATTCTTTGTCTCTGCTTTGGACTTGAATGGAAAAGTAGTTTGTTTTCCCATTAAATTGACCTCAACTGTCGCTGCCCCAAAGGGGGTCTGTTCTTGCAGGCTGTGCTTGGCCAGGAGGCAGAGCGTGCTTGGCTCTCCCTGTGTTTTGCTGCTAACTCTCTCCAGGACAACGGGAGGATGGTAATGCACTAAGGCAGGTATTTGTTAGCAGGTTAAGTGTTTTGGGAAAGAAAATGTAACATACTTTGTAAAAGTTAATAGTTTTGTAAGTTCAGGCTTGGTTGTGTTGGTGGCTGATAGGGTTGATGGTGTAGCTCCAACTGCAGCATTAAGCTCTGAGAATAAATAAGGTGAAGTGGTGGTGAATTTCAAAGGAACAAAGAGTGCAAGGTCCCCTTAATTGAATATTACATTTTTATAGTGTGGCTTTCAGAGGGAAAGGCTCAAACATGCTTTGCAAACCAACCTGGGCATTGTGTGCTGTAGTGGATCCATACTTTGACAGGAACAGTGTGATTTATTTAATGAGATGAACTGCATCAAATTCTTTTTTAAAAGAGGTATTTCTTTATTTGTACTGGGGGGGAAAATACATTTTTCTTGAGAGTCTGTAGCTGATCAGACTCCTGTATCCCTTTCTCACCACTGATGTTGCAGGGGCAGGAGGCTGGCAGGTTGGATTGGGTATTGCCTAAATAAAAATGAGGTTCAAGCCTGGAGTGTTACCTGGCAGGGCTGCCTGACTCCCACCTGCAGGAGATGTTGACTCACAGTGCTCCTTGCTCATGGTTTGTTTAGGAGAAGGTTTTAGGATGTGAGTCTCACATGGTTTAAGAGTTTGGTTGCCTTGACTTTGTAGGGAAAAGAAGCCAAAAAATGGGCTGTGATATCTTTTATGTTGGCCAAGCTGCTCCAAGGGTAATCTAGGTGGGAAGGGGCTCACCTATGGACAGGAGGCTCAGCTGGGTAGTCAGGAAGCATCAACAAAACACAGCTCCTTCCTAAGAGTGGGCAAAATTCCCCCACCTGTGAACTCCATCACATACACCCAGCCTTGGCTCTTCTCTGGCTTCTGTTTGCCTTTTAATGGCTGTGGAGTGCCTCAGTGCTTCCTTCCTGTCTTCCTGGTGTTTGGCTCAGGGGTTTGATGGCCCCTCTGGTGTTGGAATTGGCACATGGGAGCAGGTGAATGTCCATGGGATTACACTGGTGTGTTTATGAGCTGGCATGGCTGCACTGGGATTTCTCATGTGCTTCCATATCCAGTGCTTAGTCACCATCCATCTTCACTGCAGAAAATGAATGGAAGGCAAATTGTTACTGGAGACTTTTCCAGGGAAAAAATTTTTAATGAGTACCTGAAGGGCCACAATCCTATGGATTGTGTGTGGTGTCATGTAGCTGTGAGCAGGTTTTCTTTATTGCAGAAGCTGGATTGATTCCTCGGGGCAGGATAGCATCTGATTTTTATATGAGGGAGGGGGAAAACTTGTCTGACTTTAATCTGAATTTACTAGGTACTTAATAAGAAAGACCTCTGCCCTGAGTGACTTGCTCAGCCTATGTTGTGTTGCAGGAGCTCCATGGAGATGAAGCCTGCTGGCTTTATTTTGCTCTGAAATCCATTTGGCTCAAAATTGCTTCCAGAATCTCATCCTCCCTGGTACTCCAGACTTGTGACTGGGTAACCTGCTGAGTGTTAAGGGTTGTGGCAAAGCCTGGGTGCTGCGGTGGCTGTGAGGTGACACCTGCACATGGAACTTGTCCTTCAGGTGACAGGCAGAGGCACATTTCTGAGAGCTGTCTGCTTCTGCCTGTCTCATCCCTTTATAATCTGCAGTTTATATTTAAAAGCAGAGGGATTTAAGTTGTTTTCTGTGCAGTTGTGGCCCGTGGGAGCAGTTGGCTGTCGTGGTGTTTGGCCCTGGAGCTGCTTTGGTGGCCGATTGCGTAAGTGAGCGAAGGTATTTGCAGCAGTCACTTGGAAACGGGGATAATTCAAGTCTCGATCAAGCTCAGGCTCAAACAGGTTGTGGAATTTATTTATACAACACCACTGGGGTGTGTGACACTGCAGAGCCAAACAAACAGTGGTTCCCAGCCCCAGGGCTTGTGTTGGGTATTAGATAACGAGGGATGGGGTAATTACAGCCAGGGACATGGGTGGAGGGGTTCAAAGTGGGTGAGGGCTACATCCGTGTGGAGAACGTGAAATGTGCCTGGTTAATGGCAGTGTGAAGAAACTGTGGGTGCGTCTGGGGTTATGGGAAGGCTGGAGATCAGCTCTGCGGAAGGAAATGTTGCCTGAGCTATTGGGGACGCGTGGATTAATAAGGGAAAGCGGAAGGAGGCAAAATGAAACCAGCCAAGCGTACCGGGAGGGGCTGGGTCACACAGAAGCTGACGTACAACAGCAGTGGCACTCCAGGGGCTTGAGGAATTTGGGTGTCACAGCAGCCACTGGGAATCCACACCTGGACCCCAAAACGTGTGTGCTTGAAGGGAACAGAGGAAGAGGTAAAGAAAGGGGTCCACTGGGGCTTCTGGCAGCTTGGTGGTCCCTCCTCTCTGCTGTCTGTGCTCCCTGGGCTCTCGTGGTGCCAAATTGGCTTCTGCCCAGCTACTGGGCTGTTTTTGGGGTGTACTCGATCAGTCAGCACTGAAGACCTTGAATTGGTGGATCTCCACGTCAGCAGTGCATGGATTGTTGTTCCCATGTGCCCTTTGCTCAGGGCAAACTGGATCTTTTGGGTTTTAGGAGCTGGGTAGTGGTTGTTAATACCTTTGCTGTGTCACTAATTTCCTTTTTCCTTCCCTTTTGCTCTTCAGAAATGCCATTCTCATGAGTGTAAGGAACCAACAGAACTGTAATGTCTAACCCTACATGGAATAACAACTCTTGGAAGGTACCACCCTTTTTTTTAACTACACAGCTTTGTTACAGGTTGGGTTAATGATGTGCTGATCTTTGCTTCAAAGCTTGAAACTGAAGAACTGTGTCTTATGTAATGCTGTCCCTTTGAAAGGGCTGACAGTGCTGTGATCCTCCAGTCTCTGATTTCCAGAAAAGCTGGGTGCAGCCTAACACTTGGTTTGGGGTGCTGAGGGACCATCCCTCTCTGTGTGGATGATGATGTCTTTAGGCAGCTCTGGTGTTGCCTTAGGAACAGATGGTGGTTTCTATTCAGAGAGCTGAGCTGAGCTTTCTCCATACTTGGTGGCCATCCTTGGAAACATATTGCCCTTCTTTTTAGTGATGCATGATGGTTTGCTCGTTTCTTCAATTCAGTGACCTTCTGGATTGTCTTTCTTGAGGCTTCCAGGCGTATTTATAAAGGATATTGTGATGAAGCGCAGTTACACTTTAACATTTAGATTGAAATGTCTTGGCTGTTCGTGCTGCATTAACCAGCTCTCAGGCGTTGGCTTGTTCTGCTGTCTGATCCTGCAGTGATGCCATAATACTGAATTTTGGACTGCCCTGTGCATTGCCATGGCAACAGACTGATGTCACACGCTCAAGGACATGACTTCAGTGCACGATCATGCAGAGGCACAATCAGATTTGTGGAGGAGAAAGCTGACTAATGCACATCTCAAAAGCAAACAAGGGGAATGCAGGTTGCAGCTGACCAACCAAGGTGCCTCAGTGTGAAAATTCCTTGCTTAGAGGAGGGGCTGATTCTGTCTCTAAGACAGGAACAGTTGTCTTGATGAGCTTCTCTTCACCATGGAGATGCAGAGGACTTGCAAGTCTCCTATATCTTTAAAACAGGTGGTGGAAGAGCTCATTGTTTCTGGGGTGGGGAAATGCTCTCTGGTTTCACAGCTTTGAAAGGGCACTGCTTTAATTTTAAAGAACCTCTCAGTGGTCTTGCAAGCACCCTGAGAACACTTTGACTTGCTTAATGTTGTTCAAACAGTTTAATTGGTTTTCCAAAGCTTTTATTTTATCCATAACATTGGAAGGTGAAAGGGGAACTCCGCATCTGCATTATGGTCACATTTTCCTATATCCTATTAGCAGATTCCAAGATTGTTTAATGTGATCTCCACCCATTTCGTTTGGCTGCAACCTTTGCTCCCATGAAAACAAGGCTGATTGTTCTGAATTGCTGTGTGTATGTGCTTTGGCACGGCATGAAGGTACCTATAATAACACAACCATTGTCTGGAAAAAAAGGCAGTTTGCAGTAATAACTACAAATAAAAGGGTGCAGTCCAGGGGCAAGACAGATAATGGTCGTTTTCCCACCCACTGCACAGGGCAGATTCTTAAACATGGTCACCCCTCAGCATGACAGGGCTGTGGGCTTTAGCCTGGGATGTGAATACTGGGAATAAGGGACTGAAATATTTGCACGTTGTTCCAAGTTTCTCTTTCCTGGCCCTGGTTCCATTGCTCATATCTACGGATGGGGAGACTGAATGACTTTTGCACAATGCAGTGTTTTATTTGCATGCTGTGAGCAGTTTAACAAGTGTGTGTGTGCTAAATGAAGCATTCCCACTTTCAGTGAGCAGCTGATGCACCCTTAAAATAAAAAAAAAAAAGATTAAAAAAAAAAAGTGCCTTTAGGTTGAACAGTGGGGTTTTGAGGGGTGACATTGTGCTGTGTGCCTGAGCGGATGGTGGGTCGTGCCAAGGCTGAATGTTAACTAGAAATGCTGTGAGATGCAGCAAATAACCAACTCACACTCCTTGGTGCTAAAGTAATTTTTGCTCATCTCTGCACTTTGTGGGATAAAAGCTGTTATAGTGCGAGATTTGGAAGTAACGTAATTGTTTTAAATGCTCAGTGTCACAGGAATTGAGGACATTTAACAGAAACTGGCATTTCTTGTAGCAGTTTGGTTGCCTCCCAGGACAGGAAACTGTGGAGTGGTAAAAAAAGAGTCAGGGAAGGAGTTTAACAACCCTCTCTGTAAATCACGATGCTTGAATTCAGATCCTGGCCTTGAGCTGAAAGGACTGGAAGCTCTGCAGGACCCAGTGATTCAAGCTGCTCTGCAGAGAACAAGAAGATAATGGTGATGGACTATCAGGGAGGCAGCCTTGCTGAGAAGAGAGGCTTTGTGATATAGTCAAGGGGAAGGAAGTCTGGAGAACTCAGAAAAGGAACAGATGTTTTTGGTGGTGGGGAAAAACTTAACTATCCCTGTAGTTTGCTCTTGCAGCGGAGCCAGCAGGAGGAACTTGATACCAAACAAAAGTAGGCACACCCAGGATTTAGCAGAGGGATCCTGGAAAGCTGAAAATCAGTGCTTTGGTACTTTTCTGTTTGACAAATACCTTATACAGTGGCATCTGGCAGATATAATAATATATGTGTGTGCAAAGGTGTGTGTAAAACAGCTTGAAGGTGTTAGATGTTTCTCTTTAACAGCAATAAAAGAAGTATTGATATATGAAGTGATACTCAAAGTGGGCAGCCAAGAAAGATGCTGTTCTCTGAGAAGGAAATAATGACAGAAGATGCATTAAAAGAGGGTGAGGTTTTTTCTAGGGTGTGTTTATGGATGGTGATAACTTGAAGTGTGATAAAACGTATTGCTGATCCTGTGTATCAAAGTACCAGTGGCAATGATTTTTCGAGCTGTTGAAACTTGCATCCACCAAAAAAATATATCCATTTTTTTCTTCCTAATAGGTTAATCCACTGTAATTGGCTGTGTGAAATCAACCTGGGGGAATTTTCCCACCTGTAAGTGATGCACAGCCTCTTTGCTGTCTACTTGGCAATCGTACCTTCAGATAATTAAAAGCTGGTTTTGAAATCCGCTTTTCTTTCAACTCTTGTTTTTCTGCATCTTGCTACTTCTCTGAGAGCTGTCAGTCACTCTTCTGGCCAAGGTCTAAAAAGCAAGATAATGTTTCAGGAAAGGAAAACTGCAAATGATCTTTTTACTTTAATTTTCAAAAAGGTGTAATAAAAAAATACAAAACTAGGTGAACGTGAGGAGCTTTTTAGCATGCGTGTCACCGCTGCATTTCTAAAAGTAACTAACCTTTCCCAGTCCAGTATGGAAAACTTTGACTTTCAGAGCTCTGGTGCCACTTGCCCTGCTAAAATCAATAACCAAGCCTCCATGGCTCACTTAGGAAGCAGTTCCAGTTACCCAGAAATTACAGGAGTTGTTCAGCACAGGGATCCTCTGGTTTCAGCACATACTTTCATTGCTCTGTAGTGTTTTGAGAGGCCGAAGGGTGGGATGCAGCTCCAGTGAATTTCCAGATTCCTAACAGTGTGAGGGACTGTTTTTAATAGTGATGATAAAAACAGCTATTCCCAGTTGGAGGTTTAGTCAGTGGTATAATTATCAGAGCTATGAAATAGTGCAGGGATGGCTTGGGATGGAAAAAAATAAGGTTTGGAATTTCTTTTCTTGAGGGAGCTGTTTGAAATTATTTCCTGCAAGCTCATAGAGAATTGGTGAGAGATGTCAAAGGGTGAGGGCTCAGGGCTGGTGATTGCTTTGGTAGTTCAGTTATTCAATTTGGGCTGGCACGCTGCAGTTGGCTTTTGGGAGAGAATTGGTTGTTGAAAGCCAGGGGGGTGAGTGGGAGCTCTGGAGTGGCACATTTGGTTTGTTAGGTGCTGAGGATTTCCACAGCAAGGTCACAATCCCCAGCTCCAAAGCTGGTTCACTAAAACCATCCCTTCTAAACCACAGCTGTGGGTTCCTTATTTTCTGCTTCACTTCTTAGTAATTTGGTGGAGTTTATTCATATTTTCTCCGTTTTGTCCAAGAGGGGGAAACTCTGAGAAGAAAATACTGTTTGTGCTGGAGGGAGCAGTGGGAATATTGGGTTAGAGAGCAGTGTAGGTATTTTTTCCTTTTTCTGTCTTGATTATAAAGTGATTTTTTGAGCTGTTAGAGCAGAGACCACAAAGATGCTCTGAGGACTGAAGCACCTCTGCTCTGGAGCCAGGCTGGGAATGTTCACCTGGAGAAGAGAAAGCTCCAGGGAGAGCTCAGAACCCCTTCCAGTGCCTAAAAGGACTTGGGAAAAAGAGGGAATTGGACTTTTAATATGAGCAGATAGGGAAAGGACAAAGGGGAACAGTTTTAAAATAAGAGGGGAGATTTAGATGAGATATTGGGAAGAAATTCTTCCCTGTGAGGGGTGGTGCCCAGGGTGCCCAGAGAAGCTCTGGCTGCTCCATCTCTGGAAGTGTCCAAGGCCAGGTTGGACAGGGCTTGGGTGACCTGGGATAGTGGAAGGTGTCCCTGCCTGTGGCAGGGCATTAGAACAAGGTGATCATGAAGGTCCTTTCCAGCCTAAACCATTCTAAGATTTTGTGCTTTCTGTGTTTTTTCATTAAAAAAGTTTTGAGTCTTGTAAAACAAACCTGAATCTGATGTTTCCAGTGGACTTTAGGATAAAGTTCATACTTCCAAAGTGGTTATTAACATGGAAAGGATTGCACCAGAATTTTTTCTGGTGTCCTCTTATAGGTCTGTGCCACTGAATTTTGAAGAGGAAGTGTGAAAGTGAGAAGGGAAGGGCAGAAGCAGAAAGCAGAAGTTGTCACAGTTCATAAGCGTGCAGAGTTGTCCTTTACTGAAATTTCAATGCTATTTTGGGGCCTTTCTTTTTTCCTTAAGAGCGAATTACAGTGGAATTCATGCTATGCTTAGGATTTCTGAAAGCTTAATTTTGTCAGTTGCTAGGTGTATTGACTACAAAGCTCTGAAAATATCAAACTATTTTTTACTTCAATACTTCTTGAGTTATTAATGGGAAAAAAAAATCTTTAAAAATAGAGCTAAAAAAAAAAGATTAAAGATCTGTGGAATTGGTAGGTTTCCAGATTAGCTTAGATTTTTAAACAGTCCTTTGAAGTAATCATGCAATAAGATACTGTATTTAATGTTGGTCCCTACTGCAGTTTACCAGTCA